ACATAAATAAGATTAGTTGTTTAGAATATTAAATATGACGAGAAAATTAATTATATGTGTGTGGGCGGGTACCCATGAGTCGGGTTTACCTAAACCAAACCCAACCCAGTTAATAGTGAACGAGTTTAAACCCAAACTCGACCCAAAAGCCATCAACACGAATTTTACCCGCGTTGACCTGGTTGGATCGGGTGGGTACCCGTGGGTTCGGGTTTTGTTGCCATCCCTGCTTCTTTCCATCGAATGGCAAGTGGGGAGCAGACAAGCCCGTTATTTTGAGGGCTGTACAATGGGCCTACATGGGCCGGACTATCCGGCCCGTTCAGATGTTAACTGCTGGATGAAAATTCCCCACATTTTCCCAACCCTTCTTCATCCTACGAATCTCTCCGACCAGTCCCCTAAAGGCTAAAACCTCCGCTGCTCCTTCTTCGTCTTCTTCCCACTTTCTGCTCAGCAATTGGTTTCCATTAGCCTCTTCAACTCAACAGCTCCCTTCAAGATGGTCACCAAAAGGCAGAAATTAGCCCGACGGAAATTCAAACAAGAGAACCCAGCTCTGTTCCCAAAACCAGAACCGACGCCGCCGAAGGACCCCAACAAGCCGAAGAAAAAGAAGAGCTTGTTCAAGCGCAAGAAGAACACTGAACCCAAAGATCCCAGCAAGAGAAGCAAATTCACGAAACGGCCCCTTAGAGTCCCTGGAATGAAGCCCGGGGATACTTGTTACATATGCAAGGCTGTGGACCATATTGCCAAACTTTGCCCCCAGAAAGCTGAATGGGAAAGGAACAAGGTTCGTTCATAAATTCCTGAACTTTAGCTGGATTTGGTTGGTTTAGTAGTGTCTTATGGTGGTGGTGGTGGTTTGTTGCAGATATGTTTGCTCTGCAGGCAGCGGGGGCATAGCCTCCAGCGTTGTCCCAATAAGGAAGATGAGACGGTGGCTGCTAAGCTGTGTTATAATTGCGGGGAGTCTGGACATTCCTTGGCTAACTGCCTCCAGCCTCGTCAAGATGGTGAGATTTTTTCATTGTCTTGAATTCGGTTTTAGAGCAGTGCTAGTTTGGTTGAAAATTCACATTGCTTTTTGGCCTTGCAGATTGCTCGTAAGTGTAATTTTAATAGCGTCACACTTACACAACACCCATCTGGTTAATCAGAAATAGCCCTTGATTCCTTATTAATCATTACCGTCTTCCTTGTCTTCAAATTAGAACTGGGTTTCTTTTGCAGTTTCTGGAATTGAAATTGGCTCGTACTAGTATAGGCTTTATTGCAGCTTTGTGTTACTTTAGCTTGGTCAGTAAGACTAAATTTCTTGAAGATTGTACTGACCATCTCAATTAGACGCATTTTTCATAATTTGACATTTATGGCACCACTTGGTGAATCAGCTATGCTTCCTTTGGTTTGCTTCATTACCATTATCCTAATCTTCAAACTAGAAATGGGTTTCGGTTGCAGTTTGGGAATTAGGTTGTACTGTAGGTGGTTTCTTTCTGCAGTGATTTCCCATTTCTTTTGTAGTTTTGTGTACATTTAACTTGATTTTGAATCAGGTAGGCAAGTCATTTTGATTAAAGCATTATGGTTCTTCCAAGATGTATTGAAGTGTCTTGTTTCACTGAATCTACAATGCTTATAAATTATTTATATTCGTTCGTGAAGATAGATAGGATTGAACTTGTAGTACTCAGTCCTAGACGTTACTTATTAGTTCTGAATCTCTACATTCTCATCTGTTGTGTAGGGGGAACCAAGTTTGCCAATTGTTTTATCTGCAATGAACAAGGCCATTTGAGCAAGGACTGCCCCAAAAATGCTCATGGGATATACCCCAAGGTACTTCAACTCATACCAGTTCTTGTATGGTGACACGGATCAGATTGTTCTGCCATCAATTTGAAACTGACATTTCACATGTGGGTTGTTTATTTGGCAGGGTGGTTGCTGTAAAATATGCAGCGGGGTGACACATTTGGCTAGAGATTGCCCTGATAAGGGTCAAATGTTTACTCCTTCCAGTGATAGACAAGGTAAATGTACAATTTTGGTTATCCTTTTAGCAATCGTCTTGGAAAGGGATTGGCTGTCTGAAGTAAGACTAGGTTAATGTTTCAAATTTTGGTTCATATATATAATTAGATACAACCTTTTTGTTTCAGCCTTCCGGAATGTCGAAAGACCAACAGGGAAGTTGACCAAGTTTATAAGTGGGGATGAGCTTGATGACGATTTTATGCCAGATAGTAACACATACAGCAGCGAGCAAACTGGGAAGGCATCTGATCCGAACGAAGAAGCTACAAAATCCAAGAAGAAAAATGGTCCCAAAGTAGTGAACTTTGAAGGGTAGAACGTGATAGTTGCTTAGGTTTATAACCACCCGGCTTTCCAACAGATACTGCAGATCTCAGAGAGTTGTTCAAGTTCCGGGATGGTCTTCCCCTTCCCTAGCAACAAAATCTTGCTTTGCCAACTTCAAGGTTTTGTTTACTTGTGTTGTCGTGTGTGCCAATTTTGTAGAATGTATAGAGAATTACCTTTGACAGATCATAAGTTTGGAGAAATGACCACCCTGTTTAATGTATTGTTCTGCTGCCTTGTTAACACACTTCTGGCCAAATTTTTAAAGAAGCACACTATTTGTGGGAGACATTTGGAAAGCTGTTTTATGCTTGTAGAAAAAAAATATAGGATTCATCATTATGTTGGACCAAGAAACGTGGCAAACTGATGATCATTGACTGAATGTAGAGAGAAGCAAATTTTAGCTCATGGATTCTATATTAAGCTTGCAGAAAATGCAGGGACAAGATATATGAAAACCATTCATTGGCTATATATTCTTTCTTCTGTTTCGTGTAACAACTTGCAGGAAAAAACATCAAAAGGCCATTGTTGGATGAGCGGTGAAAAGGGTGAAGAGAAATGTCAACCTTAGTTTAGTCCTGAAAAATCTCCCTAATCCTCGTATTTGTCTGACCTCGGCCATGTCTCCCCAGAATTAAGGATCTCTCCCATATTCCTCCTTCCCATTCTCCATATCTCTTGCATTATCCCATTTTCCATTTTGTTCTTCCTTGTTTCGCCCCAAGCTCCTTTGGCTGTCTCCCTCTTTCAGGACATCACCATGGTAATCTCTCTGTTTCTTTCCTCTGTTTTTCTATGATAATGTTTCCATCCATCTGGTTCTATGTTCATGTTGACGTCTGTTGTTGTTTTATGTTAATATGTGGGGGGGCATTATGGATAGGCGAACTCAGCATCGGGAATGGCAGTCCAAGACGACTGCAAGCTGAAGTTTCTGGAACTAAAATCAAAGAGGAACTACAGGTTCATCGTGTTCAAGATCGAGAACCAGCAGGTTGTTGTGGAGAAACTGGGGAGCCCCGAGGAAACATACGAGGATTTCACCAAGTGCCTCCCTGCCAACGAGTGTCGTTATGCTGTCTATGACTTCGATTTTACCACTGATGAGAACTGCCAGAAGAGCAAGATCTTCTTCATCGCATGGTAACACACAGCACATTTCGTTACAAACTACATTGCCACAGAGAGGAAACCCATGAACAGGAAAAAGAACCCGATGTTTGTTATCTTCTCTGTTTTGCAGGGCACCTGACACATCGAAGGTGAGAAGTAAGATGGTGTACGCGAGCTCGAAAGACAGATTCAAGAGGGAACTCGACGGGATTCAAGTAGAGTTACAAGCAACCGATCCCAGCGAAATGAGTCTTGACATTGTCAAAGGCCGAGCTCTTTAGACACATACTCCGGCATCACAAGTTGTCTAAGTCTTTCTATAATGCTACAGACTTATATACTTTCACACACTCACCACCATTGAATTCATTCATTGTGGAGCTTCTCTCCTCTCCTCCCCTTACCCCTTCCTACTTGCCCCGCCAGCCATTGTTTTCCTTTTTCTTTTGTGTTGTTCATCAATTGGGTTTAGTTATATTTTTCTCGGGGATCCCTTTGTTTTATGGTTCCCATGAGTTTCTTATACTGAAAAGCAAGCAAGCATCATCTAGTCTGATGTAATTTTTCATTTTGTCATGTTATACATACTCTCCTTTTGTCATCAAAGTCGCTTGTCCAGCTATAATGTTCTTATTGCATTTGCTGCTGAAGAAAGAAAACCAGTAGTGTTGTTACCAAAGCTCTTTCATGGGTTCGATTGATTCACGAATGTCTCTTCTCTGCCTTAATGCTCTGATGTTGCTGCTGATGAAAGAAAACCAGTAGCGTTGTTACTATAAGCTCTTTCATGGGTTTGATTGATTCAGGCATATATCCTAACTGTTGCCTACACTCTTTGAGAGGCAATCCAAGGAGGATTAGAAAAAGAAACAGTCGAACTTGTTGCTATTAACAGATGCTAAATTTTCAGAAATGTAGATACAAACCTGCAAATATGTGTTCCAGACAAGCACAGAGATAAGCCAGCTATTAGAACGATAAGTTTAAACCAGATCTACATGCTTGTTAGTTGTTACTCGTCAAGCAAATCGCTACACATCATTAAGTTTATCTTACATTCTGATAGTGCTATGTCAAAGTTCACAGCATATATGATATATCGCCATACCAGGATTACCACACAATAACATGATGCTCAGAGTTGCATGCAGTATTCTAATTCCAAACAACTGATAATCGCGCGACGAATCTTCAAAGTTTAGTGAATTGGTACATGGACAAAACGATGATCATAGACCATAACAAATCATACGAGATCGAACGCAACACATGCATGCATGAACAATACACTGTTGCCTCAGTTACCACGAGATTGCAGATCTTTCTATCATCGTGTGCTTTGCTTCGTTTCAAATAGTTTGCGCTTTATTGACCTTCATATCTTGTTGGTGTCTTTCGATCACCAGATACTCTACCCTTAAAACAACTGTTGTGTATACAAACATAACACAAGCAAAGAAAACACCAACCAAGCCAAGCAGAACCTTGAATTCTCTCGCAATCTATATAAATCAAGGCTTCTGCTGACGACGACCCTGCTTCTCCCAATACCTCCTCTCCAACAAATCCACAATCTTCATCGAGTTCTCCCTCTTCTTCACAACCGCATACATCGATGAAGGGTCGTACGGTGGCGGCATGGCGCAGGGAGCCGTCTCCGCTGGACCCTTCACCAGAGAATCCATCATGAACTGCTTCTGAAACCCCTGGTCGTCGGCAGAGCAAGCCATGGCTTCGGAACAGAGCTCCGTCGCGTTCCGCGGCACCTCCGGCTTGAACTTGAGCAGCTTGGCGTACTCGTTCAGGAGGTGGAACATGTAGTCGTACACATTCTCCATTTTCAGGTCGTTCTGGATGAAGTTGCTCGCCGCCCTCCCAATCGCCTGCGCCTGAAATGAAAAAAACAACAAAATGCACAATTTTTTTCATTCTCCAGCTACAAAAATTCCCGATTGAGCTTAACTAGCTAGTTAGTTCTTCAGTACTCTACCTTCCTCTTGTGGCTGTTCCCCCAATCGACAGCGAACTTGATCGACCTGCACTTATCGTTCTCCTTCACCGGCCAGAAATGCCGGACCGGCATCAACCCTCTCGTGAAAAAATCGTAGTAATGTGGGTTTACTATCAACGTGACGGAGTCACACGCCAGAATGTACTTCTGGCTCACCGACCATGCCGAACCCTCGATGTAAATCTTGTACCTGTGAATGCACTGACTCGCCAGGCTAGATTGCTTGTACCCTTGTTGCGACTCCTTGAACCAATCCTGCCTGTAAACCCTAGCGTTCCAGTCCTGCTTCTCGGAGACATTACATTTCATAAGATCCAATCTCGTCTCCGCTACGTCAGGGTTTCCCTTCCAGTAAGCGTAGGGCTGCCTGTTCTCCCATTTGGTCCTCGTATTTCCTTCCTTCAGCTCTGGTAGCAACATTTGCCATGGCTTTATGTCAATTTCCGCCCTACCCACAAAAGGGTAGACAAGAATCAAAATCTGATCGACGGAATTGAAAAAAATTTGAACAGAAAAGTCAGAATCAGAGTACCATCCCCAGAAGGACCAATCGGGGAAGACGATGTCCAGCGTCTGGTTGTCGCCGCAGTACCGGAACAACGGCGGCGGTGGAGGAGCGTCGGGCCCGGAGAAATCCGCCGATTTGATGACGGGCCAGTCGACGCAATCGAACATGAGCTCCAGATCGGGGACTTGGCCGGGGTACCTACGGAGCAACTGTAGGAACCCCCACAGGGTAAAAGTGTCCCTCGTCTGGAACCCTTTCTCGAAAGTCTCGACATAGGCTCGGCCTTTGATTACGACGAGCCGGAAATTCGCCGTCGTTTTGGCCCTCTCGAGCGTCTCCCTCGTGATGCCGGTGCGGGCCCAGGGACGGAGGTCCTCGTGGATCCACCGGAAGAACTCCGGGCAGGTTTTGGACGGGGGACGGTCAGCTGATGACGAAGGAGAAGTTGTCGGGTAGTTCGTGGGGCATGTTCCGGTGAGGGTGAAACCAGGGCAGTCCAGTGGGACCTCGACTCTGTAGGTGGGGCCGGCGCGTGCGTTCCTCTCGTCCTTAATTTCTCTCTCTGCCGCGTCGATCGGAATTTCCTGCGGGAAAGAGGGAAACGGTCAGCACAGCGAGAACCACGTCGTCTTTTTCCCGTAGCCGAAGTTTGGAAAAAGTCAGAGAGAGAGAAGGGGGAGATTGAGAAAAAGTAGGCCCAATCGAACTCACGTCGGTGAACAGGCGTGTGGTTATGTACGCGCCGATGAGGAGAAAGACGCCGAAGAAGATGAAGGCGGAGTTTTTATTAAGTGGCATCATGGCGGCGTTGCTACCGTCTCTAATATGTTTCGTTTCTGTTCGAATTTCTGACCCCCCTCTGTTTTCACTCTCCGGCGACGCTCATTTCTGGAAAATATCTACGATCCCCTGATTTTTTTCTTCTTCCGTCGATTTCCTCCGAGGCGATGTTGCGCTCCTGAAAAACCGAATGAGCAAGGATGGATACCAGCTTATCGTCGGAGTATTTTCTCGGCGGTATGTAATCCAAATACGGTGATCAATCTCTTTCAACTCGGATTCCGGGAGCGTCTTGTCGAGTACGTAGAAAGTGAACGGGAAAGGTAGAATCCGAGCCGTTGTGGCAGCAATTTTTGGAAGAGGTGATGCTTGGTGGAAACCCGGCCAAATGGCGTGATCTGGTTCGTTTGTGTATGGGCCCATTTAGGCAGGCTCCAAATATTCGGGCCCATCTACTCAAATATGGAGAGCCCACTATTGAAACTGCTACAAATAATGGAATTTGCTATGATCCCAATGATTTTACATATAACAGGGAAAAACTAGTCCCCTTTGTATATTGTATAGCACCCTATTCCTCTATGCCTGCTGCTGCTGTTTGTTCTGATTGTCCCAGTACCTCTTCTCCCATAACTCAACCTGCTTGATCGAATTCGAATTCCTCCTCAAAACCGCACTAAGCGATGGAGGGTCGTAAGGCGTAGGAATCGTGCATGGAGCCCTTTCCGAAGGACCCTTCACCAACGACTCCATCATGAACTTCTTCTCCAACCCAGCAGCATTGCAAGCCATTGATTCCGAACACAGCTCAACAGCTCGCTTCGGAACAACAGGCTTGAACGTCAGTAGCTTCGAGTATTGAGTCAAGAGATGGAGCATGTAGTCGTACACGAAGTCCATCTTCAACTCGTCCTGAATGAATGAGCTCGCCGCCATACCTATCTCTTGAGCCTACAACGAAAAAGGATCCGCTCCAAAGTCAAGTTATTGAAATGCACATTACTCTGCTGACCAAGGTGTGAGTTTGGAACTATGATTATTACCTTTTGCTTGTGGCTGTTGCCCCAATCGACCGCGAACTTGATCGATTTGCACTTGTCGTGTTCCTGGATAGGCCAGTAATGATGAACTGGGACCAAGCTTCTGGTGAAGAAGTCGTAGTAATGGGGCTTTACAATCAGGGTGACGGAGTCACAGGCCATTATGTACTTCTGGCTCACTGACCACGCCGAACCTTCGATGTAGATCTTGTACCTGAAATGTCACATAAACATAGAGCTGCTTGTCAAGAATGTAACTTCAAAACGGGTGATCAGATCGAAACAATGGATGGGTTATGAACTATTGAACTGACCTGTGCAGGCATTGGTTGGCCAAGTCCGATTGCTTGTACCCTTGCTGTGATTCTTTAACCCAATCCTGCTCACCAAAACCAATTGTGACTCATAATCGCTTCAAATCGAACACAATACTCGATCTAATTCCAACCCGATGTTATCGGAAACTACGATAAATCCTATGACGCGATAGTAACAAAAGTTCATCGACTACGAATCTCACCTGAGCAAAGACGCGAGCATTCCAGTCGTGTTCTTCAGAGACATTGCATTTCATAAGGTCCATTCTTGTCTCCGCCACCGCCGGATTCCCCTTCCAGTAAGCATAAGCCTCCCTTTCCATCCATCTCTTCCTCTTGTTCCCCTCTTTCAGCTCCTTCTGCAACCCCTCCCACGGCTTTATGTTTATCTCCGGCCTAATGCACAATTCATCAACACTGTAATCAAAATTAATTCCACAGAAAATGAGAATCGAAGGGTTTCTACTTTCTACTGTCCACTTACCATCCCCAAAACGACCAATCAGGGAAAACGATATCGAGCGTGCGATCATCCCCACAGTACCGAAACAGAGGCGGTGGAGCGACGGTGGCGTTATCCCCATTTTCACCGTAGCCGCCGGATTTGGCGACCACCGGCCAGTCAACGCAATCGAACATCAGCTCCAAATCGGGCACCTGACCGGGGAACCGCCGCAGCAGCTGAAGAATCCCCCACAGCGTGAAGACGTCCCTCGTCTGGAACGCCCTCTGATACCTCTCCACGTAAGCCTTCCCGTTCACGATTACAAGCCTGAAGTTCGCCGTTCGCTTCGCCGTCTCCACCGCCTCCCTCGTGATCCCCGTGTGGGCCCACGGCCGCAGGTCCTCGTGAATCCAACGGAAGTACTCCGGACACGTGGACGGCTGGCCGGGTTCCTCGGTCGCGCCTCCCGTCGGGTAGTCCACCGGGCAGGTTCCGGTGTGGTTGAGTGCAGTGCAGTTGAGTGGAATCTCGAGATGTTTTTTCGGAATGTCGTCGGGAAGCGTGATTTTGCTGGCCGTTAGAGTCTTCGCCGAGCTGCTGAACGCCTGCGACGAAGAATGAGGGAAATGAATTAAATAATTATTTATTACAATAAAATAATTACTACGGCTGACACGGCGCCGGGGATCACTGCACGTGGAAACGATCGAACGACGTCCGACCACCGACGGTCTCTGGTTGGTTTGGGAAGCTCGCCGACATGAAAAGAAACAAGGCTATTATACGGCATCGTATCAGGCCCGGCAGGCGGCAGCTCGAGCTAGGCGAAAAGTCAAAAAAGCAAAACGGCAGCAATTATTGACAGTGAAAGCTTGAATTTTTTTCTTCTTCTTACATTGGAATCGAGGAGGCGAGTGGAGATCAACGCGCCGCCGAGGAGGAGCAGAAGGGAGAAGACGACGGCTGACGATCTCGACGGTAGCTTCATTAATGGCCGGGAGATATTTTCCACCAATTGGCGGGAAGCTCCAGATCCGATCCACCTCTGCCAACTCAGCTGCATGTTTTGTTTCTCCAATACCGAGCTTGGCCACCGTTCAGCGCTCCGTCACCGCCATGTTGCTACCCTTCCCCCAGCTGGCCGATTCAATCTCCAATTCGATTTCAGGAACTGGGTTGGGAATCAGAGGTGTAGCTGAAGACCAATTGCTGGGAAAACAAGCGAATCGGCGTAAATGAGAAACAGGGGAAGGATGAAGGTGCTGGATCCCAAGTGTGCTATAGTAAAGAAAGATTGTTAAGCGAGAAGTAAAATAGGGGAGGCGCCTGAGCTTTTCTCGTGACGAGGCGGCGACTACTTACTTTCAGGAGGAAATAATTTAAGTAATGGGGAAAACGGCAAGGAAGATGGGAAGTGAAGCTTCAGCAGCTTTTGAAATTTATAATTTCAGAAACGAAGGGCAATTTTTTTAAAAGGGAGACTTTGTGGAGGGCACAAACTAAGAGCTTCGAAGTGACACGTTATTTATTAGGGTTTGTATATGTGTGGAATTTTGATTCATCGTTCTGTTTTTTTAGTACTGTGAGATCTCTGCTCCTCTGGGCCCTTTCCTCTCCCTTGTCGTTCTTTCTCCTGGTTCGGTGCATGAAGTGTAATTAATGAGCATAGACATGTGCGTGGATGGATTCAATCTGGTTCAGGCTGCTGAATTAGTAGGTGTAAGTCTGTGTTTACGGCTCCTTAGTTGCTGGGTCGTGAATAAGACGAATTTCATGTGTGCAAGATGAAATTTATTCTAACTCTTTAAAAGAACAAGTAACAAAATCACTATTTCATAGTGTCACATCACAAGGTGATTTTTTAGTAATTAACCAAACTTTGAAGTAGTTTTTGTGCCATTAAGTTCCAATTAATTAATTATGACCCAAATTGGACTCAAGTCAATGAGTATTCGACCCGGTTAAAGCAAGTTTTCCATGTGTCGAGTTGGGTTGTAACATAATACTCTTTACTCACTTTTGCAGTTGACGGGTTGGGTCGGGTGCAAATTCATTTTCTTTAGTGACAATTGAACCTAATTCGAACCGATTAAAGCGAGTCGAACCGTTGTTGACGAATTTTGGGTTGGGAACGGATTTTACCCGCTTTTGTAATTGACGGATTGGGTCGGGTGTGGATTTTGTTGAAACTCGCCCCAATTTATCAACAGTGTTGACGAATTATGGGTCGATGATGAATTTTGGGTTCATAGAGTCACATCACAAGGGGTGGTTTTTTAGTAATTAACCAAAGTTTGAAGGAGTTTTTGTGCCATTAAGTTCTGATTAATTGATTTATGACAATTAAGCAAAAATTGGAGCCAAGTCAATGGATATTCGACCTAATTGGACCCGGTTAAAGCAGGTTTACATGTGTCGGGTTGGGCCATTACCTAATACTCTTTACTCACTTTTGCAATTGACGGGTTGGGTCGGGTGCAAATTTATTTTCTTTAGTGACAATTGAACCTAATTCAAATCGATTAAAAGGAGTTGAACCCGTTGTTGACGAATTTTGAGTTGGGAACGAATTTTACCCGCTTTTGTAATTGACGGATTGGGTCGGGTGTGGATTTTGTTAAAACTCGCCCCAATTTATCAACCGTGTCTCCGATTATCTTCTCAAAGGGATAGAAACAAGAGAAGCTATCTCACTTTGTAACCTGGTTTGAAAGTAGGCTCTGCAAATATGATGCTTTCGAATTTTCAGAATACTTTTAGGGAAACCTGATTTTGAAACTCTTGGCAAGTGCCTCCCAGAAACATGATCCAAGGGAGGGCATAGGTTAATTAGAAATATGTTGAGATGACATTATCACCCAATGAAGAACAAAATGATAGGAACCTTAAATCCAAGGCAGGTGCATCATTTTTTCCATTTGAATTGGTTATGCCAATAAATTCTTCTGCCTTTTTTACTCAATTTAGTTTGGTGTTTCAAAACCAATTTTATGATGATTAAATTGTTTTTCAACTATGTTGGGCTGAAGATCTTCCCCATACAAGAAGAAAAGATTTTGACCAGTTTTAGGTGCAATCTCACTATGATTAATTGAGGTTTGTTCCTTTTGTAACATCTTCTTTTATTCCTTTTACATGTTTGTTTTCTAATGTGGCCTCGATTCTTTGTTTTCCTTTTTTGCTAGAGTTTTGCAGTACAAATAGGGAATGAGTTGCAGATGCAATTGAGAGGACTAGAGCTAAATATTGTTGTTCTAGGACGAGGAAGAGAAGGTCATGTTACAACCAGGTATTGGTTTTCCTATAACGGTCTGAAACTTTAGTTCCTACAAACCGAGTTTTAAGTTTTCATGATGTGAAATAATTTGAATGATCTTTATGTGTTATGTTTGGGGGCAGGGGTGCAATTGGAGCATGGTGGCAGGTTCGTTAATTGCACTGTGGTTATCAATAATGGAATGTATTTATGTTTTCATGATGTGAAATAATTTGAATGATCTTTAGCAAGCAACCATGTGAAAAAATCCAAATCTACCATAGCTGCTAGAATGATCTTTATTCTTTAGGGTTAAAACACTAAGCAAAGAGTCATGAGTTTGCCTAGACCTAGGACATGGATAGGTAGAAGGGATGAGAGGTGACAACTCAAGTTCTTGTTATTGGTAATCTATAATTCGACGAATTGGAGGCTGAGAGACGACTAATAGTCTAATACGAGCGTTTTCTTATTGATGTTATGAAAATAACAAGAGATTAGATGAGAGACGAGAATAACTTAAATTGGAAAGCCAAAATTAAGTTGGATGGAGACTTGTGAGTTATGAAAGAATAGGGAATGACCAAAAGTTGTGTGATATATTTCATTAATTTTTAATATTTGTTGTTTCTTGGTATTTTGATATATTTTAGTATATATTGATCCCCAACCCGTAATCCCGAATACCAAATAGCACTCCAAAATGAATCCTAATCTCGATCCCTAAAAAATAACTCAGTATTCGGTAATACCAAATAGTATTAAGTTTGGTATGATATTCGGTATATTCCAAATACCAGTACCAAACTTCCAGTCCTATTTGCAGCCACTAACTAATTGGTTAATTGCTATGTTTTCAAAATGATTTACTCCCCAAACCAATAGTTAAGTGGGCTGACAACGTTATGTTTTCAAAATGATTCACTCTCCTTTCCTATAACTATGGACTCTGCTGGTGTGTCGTTGCAGAATTTCAGTTATGGTGTGGAGAGGAATTCCAGTTTTGGTTTTAGTCTCCATTCCACTGTCTCTTACTGATTTTGTATGAGTTTCTATGTTCTCTTCCTTGGAGATGGGCGGCTATTTTAATAAAAAATGCCAGATTTGTGAGGTTCAGCGACGGTGTGGAGAAGAAGCTAATTTCTAGGTTCCATGCGGCTTTTGGATTTCAAGTGATGGTTCTCTCTCTGTATTAGTTTGTTTACTCTCTTTTCTTTGACGATTTCGTTCTCATTCTTTCTTTTGTGGGTTTCTTCGTCCACTTTCAAAGGGGTTCGGGCGGCGAGTTCTGTTGCAAATGAATTGATCTCAATTTCTTAGGAAACTTTGTTGCCCCTTGAGCTTGCGAAGCAACAGGCGGAACCTACAGTGGTGGTGAGCTCCTCTCTCTTGATTTTATTCCTTTCTAAGGTTCAAGTTCACCTGAGTATGGTTTATATTGTTTTATCTTTTCGGTTGTCTTCTCGGTCTTCTTCCTCTGTAGTTTTACTGTTTGATTTAGCTTACATCTTTGTTTGTTCTCTGTCAGGAGTAGCGACAACTGTTTCACCAGCCACTTCATAACATATTTTGCACTATTGAAGTGGCTTTCTTTTAGGTTAGGTACATTTTTTTATAGGCTGAAACGAATGCAACTAGGTTCTGTAGTTGTTGAATGTGTTATTGCTATGTAACCCAACTGCTATAAATTCTATTAGGGGAAGTCTGTTTCCTACAGGCTCAAACAACTCTTTTCAGTTCGTGCACTTTTATGATGATCTTGTCTTTTTTCTTCCCAACTTGATGTGAATGCACAACATCCCAATTGTTGGTAGGAAAGCTGGTGTGATTTTTCGGTTCTCAAACTTCTGTTTGTGGCACTTGAATCCTGCATAATATCTATGCACTTCACTGCTACTTTCTTATGTCAAATGCATATGTACCATGTAGGTCTTTGAAAGTTCCAATCTTTACTTATTTATCCATAAAAGTGCGCTTCTTTACTTTTGGTTATCTGCTCCTTTTTTCATGTTGATGCATCTTTTCAGTTTAAAATTTTGGAGGTTTGCTGATGGATATAAGAAATAATTGGTGTGACCCTATCTAATTTTCTTTTCCTTGGAGGAAACGGTATCCGATTCCTGTCTTGGCCGTTTCAGAAATTAAGACCTTGGAAAATTGATTTGGCTTCACCTGATCCTGGTAACCATCTCCTCTTCTTGCGTTTGGTTTTATACTCTGGATATTTACTTCATTCTGGCATTTGATTCTTTGAAATTCATTTTCTAGGGTCATGGTTAGACTACGTTTGGTTTAGTAATTTGGTTGGTTTCCTCATTCTGGCTTTTGATTGACTCCCAATTTTAGAGGTTATGCTTCAAAGCCCTCATTTGGATATGATTTCTGAGTTGTTGATTTTGCGGGGAAAAGCCAATTGAGCTTTGATTATTAGGGATGATCAGATGAACTCTTTCTCATTTCTTCCTCAAATTTGGGGTAATACAAAAAAGGATAAGTAACTACAAAATAAGTACCTAATACACACTCACAAGAGAAGAGCTTCCCGCCTTTTGTCGTACTATATGCAATCTGTGCGTGGATTTCTTTGGGGTTTCTTTATGTCTACCGTTGCAATTGTTGAGTTCTATTTGGATTTTAATGCTTTCCTCAACATATTCAGTGTACTCTTTGATAGCCCTTCGTGATCAGGTCTCTGTCTACCATATTCTGCCTACTCTCTAACTATTGGATTATCGGATGCAATTTGTTCTAGGCTTGTCTTTATCTGGGGTATTTACTAATTTGTCCCTATGGGTTAAGATGGGATA